GCAGAATATTCCAGGCAGGGAAAATATCAAATGCAAAGACCCTGAGGGGACGACATTGAGGACAAGAGATACTGAAAAACTCCCCATTACAAAACTCCTAGAAAAGCTGGCTAAAACATGACAAACATCCTTATAAATACATAGGTGGGCTTCCAAGAAAATATGGGAAGCCCCTAAAGTGGACTTAAGCTTCATATGTTCAAAGAACTGGCAGCAGGTCAATGGGACTGGACCAGGCGAATGAGAGGACCAGCAGGAGATGAGCTCAGATTTGTAGATAAGACTCAGCTCCTGTCAGCTCCAGAGACCATGCTAAGACACTTGGATTCACTCCAAACCTATTGAGAGCTGTCAGAGGCTTTTAAGCAGCAGAGTGAAGTGCTCTTGTTGACATTTTAAAAGAAGAAGCCTGGCTGCTGTTGGGAGAATGGCCTGGAGGACCAGGAGAGGGAGAGAAAGGAGACCGAGGCTCCTGCTGAAGGTCGGGGGGAGAGTGTTGCCTGCTGGAAGCTCTGCAGTGCTGTGACGACAGGGAGAAGTGGGTGGCTTTGATATCAACATTAAAGACGGAACTTGCTGAGAGATTGGATGCTGAGGACAGTAAGGGTAAAAAGAGGCATGAAGGGCGAGATCTTGGTTTGGGGCATGAATAAGGGGTGGCTGGCAAATATAATTTACTGAAATAGGGAAGACTGAAGGAGAAATAAGAGGTTTTTTTCCTCGCAGAGCAGGCAATCAGAAGTTCTGTTTGGACACAGTCACGTTGAGATGCCCATTAAGCAGCTCTGTGAAGATATAAATAGACAGGTAGAGCTGGGTAGTTGGAGCTCTGGGAAGAAAACAGACTAGATGTCAGAGACAATGGCATGTAGATGATATTGAAAGTCGTGGGAATACACGAGACCACCTAGAAAGAACCTGTAGACAGAGAAGAGGACTGATGACCAAGATTCGGGGTGTACCAACTTTGGGGGTCAGTCAGAGAAACAGCCAGCTAAAAGAGCTGAAGGAAGTCAGTGAAGTGAGGAATAAACTGTCCTATGTAGTGATGAGAAGCCAAGGGGAGAAAGTTCTTCAACGAGAAGGGAATGGTCAATTATATGAAACGATTTAGAGCGTTGAAGTAAAATAAGGGCAGACAAGTGAGCTTGACTAACATAGTTTCTGCGTAATTATGGGATCGAAGCCTGTTTGGGGTGAGACTATCGGGTGAGAAAGTGGAGACAGTTGCTATAGACCATTCTCAGTGGTCTGCGGTGACAGGAACAGAGGACTAGCAGTGCAGCTGGAGGCATGTGGGGGCCCAGGGAGGGTTTCTTCTTAGATGGTGGAGACAGATGGAATGACCCATCAAGTAAAGAAAGAGAACAGGGTGATGCGGGCTGGAGGGGAGGGATCGATAATCACAGGCGTTCGGGCCTTGAGAGGATGGGATGGCTGGGCTCCAGAGGCCATGTGGACAGGTTGGTCTTAGACTAGAACATGGAGATGCAGACAGGTCCAGGGAGGTGGGGAGGTTCAGGTGATGAGATGTATGCAATTCTCTCTGTGTTTATTTTCTCAAACAAACAGGAGTTGAGATCAAGTGCAAGGAGTGGAGTAGGCGGCCAAAGATTTGAAGAGAGACTGAAAAGGAATACAAAATAGTTTGGTAGACTTGGGGGAAAGGCATATTGCAAATAAATGGAGAGGAAACTGGGTGGAGGACACACCCTTTGTATATAATGAGACCACCACAGTGCATGCGCACACACAGCCCCCAAGCAAGGGACCAAAGATAGACTTCACAGCTAATGAAGTACGATGGATCTGAATAGTAGTGAACAGGCTGAACTTCAGCTGCTGGACAAAAGAATCTCCACCTGAAGAGGCTACATTCTAAACGGAGGAGCGCTGGACTCTGGGCCAGCTAGTTCTCTTCTGGGTTTAGATTCTATTTGCAGTCCAGTTTCCTCTGTAGCCTGAAAACTGCAAAACTGGAATCACGCTGCAATCCGTCCCTCCACCCACTGATGTGATGTTTGGGAGCAGTTAAGTGTGAAGGGCAATATTCCTCAGATCACTGTCACGAAGGAGCCTGAATTCCTTGGTGAGACATCTGGACAAGTCTGAGCAAAAGCAAGGAGCCTGAGTTTTCACAGAGAACAGCTGACATTCTTCAACTTACATCAATCAAGTTAGTAATAGAGCTATACCTATAAAGAGAAGTGTGGTGCTTTCCTATCGCTGCTATAACAAAGCCACAAATTGAATGGTTTTAAACAATACAAATGTATTATCTTACAGTTCTGGAGGTCAAAAGTCTACATGGGCTGACAGGGCTTCTGGAGGCTCACGGGGAGTACATGTGTCCTTGCCTTTTCTGACTTCTACCCGCCACCTACATTTCTCGGCTTGTGTCCCCTTCCTCCATCTTCCAAGTCAGCACAGTGATGAACTCCAGTCTGACCTCATCACATCTTTCTCCCTCTGACTCTCCTGCCTCTCTCTTTCCCTCCTAAGGACCCTTGTACTCAAGCTGGGCCCAGCCATGCAACATGAGATAATCACTTTATCTCAAGATCCTTCACTTAATCACACCTGCAAAGTCCTTTTGCCATGTAGGGCAACATAGTCACAGGTTCGGGGCATTAGGATGAGGACGTCTTTGGGTAGGAAGGGAACATTACTCTGTCTACCACAAGAAGCTTCCTGCTCTATCCACTAGTGGGACTTTCTCCTTAGTTAAATAATCTCATTTTCTTTTAAATCATGTTTTTGTTTATAAAACTGGACCTTCAGAACTAATTTATTTTAACAGAAGCAACAGAGACCTTTCCCTTTCTTGTCTTTGCTCTTTCCTCGTATACGGGGCTGTAGCCTGAAATTTAAAACACTGCCTTTGATTAATTTAGCCATCTAAAGCTTTTATTTTTCATCTATTGTATAATAATAAGATCTAGAGCTTTTTAAAAGGAAATTCTTTATATGAAGCTCTCAGATCAAATGTGAACAAGATATGTTTTCTCTGTTCCATCATAGAATTTCTTTTGCATTTTAGATATTTGAGACTTGAACTTTTCTGCTCCATAAAACATGGAGATTAGACATCCCTTCCTAAAGTTGACAGTGTAGTTAATTTAGCAATTCACATCGTCCTCATGTATTAAATTCCCAGAAAATATTTATTAATCTAAAATTGATATAGAATGTTTACATTATTTGTCAACAAATGCTGTGTTTAAGAGTGAGTGTGAACAGACATGAGGCCACGTGTGATATAAGATTCTGCCTCAAATCCTGGTGAAGAACGTTCTGATACGTAACTTCAGTTTTGTGCCCTTCAAGTTATGTCACCTCCGGAATTTCACTTGGCTCCTGTGTAAACAATTAAGAATTATACTGCTTTCCTGGTGATGGGGTGTAGTACCTAACTTTTGTTTTTAAAAAGGCCATATAAACAGCAAGCGTTGCCAAAAATTAAAATTTTGCCTCATATAATTCATCTATGGCTCTATAAATCTCCTCTCTGTTTTCAATTAAATTGGATATGCCTCATTATTTCTCATTTAGAATCATGTTTGAATTTTGCTTTCAACCATTTTATATTCATTTGAGTATTGGCTTTCTTTTAGTTCATGAAGAGATTCTGTATTCCATTATGTTTGTTCTTAGTATAGTATAATAAAAATACTAGTTAGGAATTTAAAATTCTCTTGAGCTGTTGTATGACATGTGCATGTGAAGAGATACTACAGCTGCCTGCCAATTTGTTTTTGTTTTTTTTTAAGATTTTATTGGGGAATTTGGGGAGGGGAACAGCGTTGGGGAATCAGGGAAGGGGAACAGACAAGTTGCTGTCCTTTTTGTTCTTCAATCTAGTTGTGGGGGACGTTGCTTCACTGGCCCATGTTGGTATTATGATTGCGCTCTTTCCGGAAGAGGCAGTCACTTGCCAGCCATTGGACAGCCACTCACAGCAGCTCATGGCAGCTCATGAAAGCTCATGCCCACTGCTGGCCAGCCCCACTGCAGCCTAGCCGTCACAGGCGACTCACAGGCCCAGCTCCAGGTCGAGCTGTTGTTCACCATCTTAGCTGTAGAGGGCGCAGTGCCACTGGCCCTCATGTGGGATCCGAACCTGGGCCCTGCTGTTCAGAGCTGGTGTCCCAAGCCAATTCCTAACCAATGTGCCACTCGGCCAGCCCCAATTCTTAATAATTATACTGATCAGGGTGCTGGCAGGCAAGGCGATGGCATTCTCACAAGGGGTCATTAAAAAGAGTTAGGTAGGAATGGTTGAGAAAACCAATAAGGAATAATAAAACACCTGGAAGCTGGTAGCAGGAGGGAATCCTGTACCCACCTATGTCTCAAAGGGCCAGAACCTGACATGACCTGTGGCTATAGAAGGGTCTAGGGGATGAGCACATCTACTGTCAAATCTCCACTTAGCCAGAGGGAAGCAACAGGGAAGCGATGGCAATAAATATCCTGAACCCTGTTCCCATCCGCTGTTCTCCTGCCAGTGCTTCCTTTATTCAAAACCACCTGGAAGCTGGTGGGCAAGGAAGCTAATTGATGCATTCATAGCAGTCCATTTCCTGGCACGCAGCAGGGTGGAGGGTGGAGAGTGTATCTGGAAGAGCAAATAGAAGACACCGAGCACAGTGGTCCAATGGAAAAGATGTTATCCCAAATTAATGTATCTTGGCCTTCAGGATTTGGTTGTACAGAAACATATATGCACCCTCTTCCTTAGGCCCTGACCCTTTTGGTCCCAAGTACCTTTCTTCTCAGCAAGGCTATTGGTAGTCTTGTTGCTGTTGGTGGTGCCATTGATGATCACTGTGGCTATGCCCAGATCAGCTCATTCTTCTGTGGGTAGTAAGATTTGACGAATAAATTTGAGATGTACACACCCACCATGACTGCAGAGTCGTGTACCCCCTCCCGCCCCCCATCTCCAGCAGACGGTCTGAGAGGTGTTCTCCCTCACTCTTCGCACCCTCCTTTTTCAGGATGGAGCTTCAGCATGGGATCAGCCTACCAGTTTCACAGTTGGCGTGTCTTTGTGATCGTCTGCGCGCTCCCCTGTGTCTCCTCAGTGGTGGCCCTCACGTTCATGCCTGAAAGCCCACGGTTCTTGTTGGAGGTAACACTTGTTATCACAAATACCCAAGGAAGCCACATACATTGGAAAGACTTTCTTGTTAATTCTAGCAAAATATGTTTGCCTGTTTGGGAGGTACATTTTTCCTTCCTACTGTGGAACTATAGAGGGTTTGGTTTCATGGAGATATGCTTCTAACAACCAACATGTGAAAAAGCTGCCTCGGGGCCGGAAGGCACTAATGTTCCTCTCCAAGAATGTAACTTTTCATTCAATGAAGAGAACGTGGCTTATTGTTTTATAAATGAAATTTTGCCATCCAAAGTTGCTCCAATACAGTGGATTTCCAATGGGACATACCTAATTAACAATTAACCCAATTTGATCTGACAATACAGGGTGGTTATTGGAAAATCAGGGAGTATAAGTCTTTCACTTCCTAGCACGTTACTGCCTACTTACATTTATTAGGTTGGAAAACATGATGAAGCTTGGATGATTCTGAAGTTAATTCACGACACAAACATGAGAGCACGTGGTCAGCCTGAGAAGGTCTTCACGGTGAGTATGGGTCCTCAGAGAACCCCCTTCCCCAGGGGTTGGGAACTTTTTCTGAAAAGGCCAGATTATACATTCCTCGCTCTGTACCAGCTACACTCATCTTTCAGCTCCTCATACTTGTCATTATACCGAAGCCTGCCACACTGGTATATGTGCTGTTCCCGCTGCACGAAGCATTCTTTCATCCCCTAGTTACAAGTGTATTCTCAATGGGGATTCCAGTCTAAATTAATGAAAATTGGGTGCATGGAATTTTTTAGAAGAAACAATGGTTTTTAAATTTTTTGATATACGCAGCACACAGTTAGATGAAAAATGTTTTGCCTAAAATAGGTTTAAGGTAAGATATGAGGGGGACATAAGTAAGCTCTTCAATGTTTTATAAATAATATCAGCCATAGTTTTTAAAATGTGAAATAGTCCCTGAGTAAAGAGTCCCCTGATATCTAATTTATTTATTTCATTTTTATTTAGGAAATACATTTTTCACAATGTAAAGAGAGACTTCAGTCTGGCCTCTATCCAAATTATCTGAGATTCATAATTAGCAAAAATTTTTATGCAGTGTAATAGATAAATTAAGGTCAATAATGGAGGACCTGGAAGGCTTTGAATAGGCCCTTCTTTGAGTAGATGCACAATAGAGGAAGAATGTTTTTAAATTAAAGGATCATGAGGCTGGAGGAATCTTGAAACATTATCTAAATAATCAATATCATTTAAACCTTCACAGCCAGATGAAAATAAACCCTTTACCAAAGACTTCTGAGAAGGTATCCCTGTAGGGCCTCATTGCCCTGCTCACCTGTTTTTCTTTCAAAAGGTCAAAGTTACCAAGTCCACTCATAGTCATCCATCTTAATGTTAGATCAGATGAGAATAAGGTGGGAACAATCCAAAAGAATGGATAATCTCAAAGTCATGTTTATGTGACTTTCAAAGTCATTCTATGAATCCACCATGACAAATTTGTCTTTTTCCTTTTATGTCTACAATACAGTGAATTTACATGCATTCTTTCAAGGTCTCCTTAAGTTTTTTTTTTCTATATCTCTACCTTAAATATGGTCTTCCAGGGCTTCATTTTAAGCTAATTTCTCTTTTAACCCTATACACTCTCCTTAGCTAATCTCAGCTACTTCCTGCATCTCAGTGGCCTAATGGACAGATCTCCTGAGCTCTAGACATGTCTGTTGAAGGGCTTTGTGGCCATCCTTCTATGTACTATAGACCCTTCAAATTCTGAATTTCTAAATCTGAACTTGACACCTTAAGAGTATCCAAGCCTCTTCCTTCTCCTAAATTCTATCAAGTAGCACTAGCACCGCCCAAACCAGAGCCCTGAAAACTATCCTTTTTCTTTCTTTCCTTTGTCTTCATTATATCCAAAAAATCGTTCTGCCCTATTAGTCTCCATCCTAAATATCATTCATCATTGTTCCATACTTTCTCCCGTTACTGCCACTGATTTGGTTCAGCCTTCATTACTCACTCCCCTTTGCCCTTGGACTATGCTTCAGGAATCTCAAAATCTTCGTAGTTGCTCAATAGGCTATTTTTTTGCATGCATTGGGACATTTGCACATGGTATTTCTCCCACTTGGAATGCTCTCCAAATAGTTTACACACATGGCCAATCACATATTTTTTCATAAACTCTAGCTCAAATTCCGCAGTCCTTGAAGCTTTTTCTCTTCTCTCTACTCCCTGGTCAGCTTGGGTGATCTGTACAATATGTCTCTCCCATCTGCTATGGACTGCCATTAGAGTACTTTTTACTTTGTATGGTAATTGCTTGGAGGGTATGATGTTTTATGTTTGCATCTCCAGGGTCCAGTGTCAGGCCTGGCACCTCATGAGTGCCAATGAATTAATGAACAAACAAACATTGATGAATGGAGGAGAGGAAGCCTCCTAAAAGTAATATATTGAGTGATAAGAACACCTGTTATTTTAAAAAAAATTTAGAGTATTACAAAATAATGCCTACATGGATTATTTTGAGCTAACTCTATTTAGAATCCCATATTTAACTCAGACATTATTTTCATTAAATACAGACATCTTTGTTTTTTTTAGCCAGGAAGAGGCTACTGCCTACTTGGTATAATTTGGAAGATACCGCGGGTCCCCAAATCACCTCTGTCAAAAGCCAGCCTTGGTAGCTGGAGTCTCAAAATAGAAGTGCCACTTTGGATGTTGGCAGAATCTCCATTTTTAAAAAATGGTTTAAAAGTTATCCCTGGCAGGGGTAAAATGTGGGTACATTTCTGTGTCCTCAGATTTATCGAAAGCAGATACATGTTGACTAACAGGGCACTGCTTAGAAGGGATATATGCATCCATATGTTCAGTGCAGCATTATTTACAATAGCCAAGATGTGAAGGCAGCCTGGGTGACTATCAATGGATAAATAGATAAAGAAGAGGTGGTACATATGTACAATGGAATAGTACTCAGCCATAAAAAGAATGAAACCTTGCCATCTGCAACAACATGCATGGACCTAGAGGGCATTATGATGAGTGGAGTAAGTCACACAGAGAAAGAGAAATGCCATATGATTTCACTTCTATGTATAATCTAAAGAACAACATAAACAAACAAAACAGAAACAAACTCAGAGAGAACATTTTGGTGGTTGCCAGATGGGAGTGGAGTTGGAGGGGTGGGTGAAAAAGGGAAAGAGATTAAGAAATACAAATTGGCAATTACAAAATAGTCCTGAGGATGTAAGGTACAGCATAAGGAATATAGTCAATAATATTATAATACCTAGGTATGGTGTCAAATGGATACTAGATTTATCAGGGTGATCACTTCATAAATTATGTGTCTAATCACTATGTTGTACACCTGAAACGAATATAATACTATATAAAAAAATAAATTAAAAAATAAAATGTATTAAAATGCAGTTAAATGTTGACTAACAGGGTAAGAAGGGACAGGTGCACAAAGGAACCGTTCTTTCTTTCTTTTCTCTTTTCAGGCCTCGTTCTCTGTGTTGAAAGCGTTGCTTCTCCTGACCCTTGCTTCCTTTCCTTAGCAAAAGGAGGCTCGCTTAAGTTATAGATACAGCTTTTCATGCTGAACCTCCATCATTCATTCCCCTTCTAGGGCTGAAGAATCAGTGTTGATGCTTGCAATCAAAGCTCATTCACTTGACCTTGCACCATGGTCACCTGTGGAGATTTGCTGGCCAGTCACTGTGGGTTATGCTGTGGGAGAAGGGAGAGGGGGTCACAGTGATAGTCCAAGAACAAAAGTTTGCTGGAAAAGCTTTAAGAAATATGTTTATCATATTCATCAAACAAGTAGATTCCAAAGAAAAGTGTGTACAATCTTTTTAGTCCAAGCAAAATAATTCTTAATTCAGAAGCTAAGCTATCTAGAGATTTCATATGCTAATATATGCCTTTGCAGTAATGATTAAGAGAAGGGCATTTTGGTTTCATATTATTCCATTACTAGTTGCTCTTCCCGCCCCTCCATTTCTCTATGATGTTCCCTCTTTTCATTATTATTTATTTTTTAGTTTCAGTTGTACAAAACAATGTAATAGTTATACATTTTACCCCTCACAAAGTGATAAACTCCCTCCCCCAATCTATTGGCCCTCTGATATCATATATATATCTATTACAATTCCATTGACTCTATTTCCTATACTATACTCCATATCCCGTGACTTTATATATATTAAATTATGGTTGACATACAGTATTTTTCAGCCTCAGTCTCAGGTGTACAGTGCAGTGGTCAAGCATCTATACCGTTTATGAAATGATCTCCCTAACCCATTCATTCTTTATCCAGTTCTTTTTTTTTTTTTTTTTTTTAGCTGAGCCATCCTGCCACCTGTTGGCAGCTCAGCGGCAGCTCAGCTCGGGCCAGGACTCAAACCGCTGTTGCTCAGAGCTTGCACTCTTGAGCGAGCTCTTAACCAGCTGAGCCACTTGGCTGGCCTCCTTTATTCAGTTCTTTTAGGTACCGTTTGGGTCTGTATACTTACACCAGTGGTCTCATATGTATATATACAGAGGGAGTGAATATCAACTACCTGCTTCTTTTTTGTGACAGTCAGCTTTCGCTCCTTTAACAACAAATGGTAAGCCTGAACTGAGCAACTTCAGAGAACTCATCGCTTTGCCCGCTGTTGCCCTTTACAGGTAAACAGAATCAAAACCCCAAAACAAATAGATGAGCTGATTGAAATTGAGAGTGACACAGGAACGTGGTACAGAAGGTGTTTTGTTCGGGTCCGCACAGAACTGTATGGAGTAAGTAACAAGCCCACCCTGGCAAGCTGGCCAACTTGTTGCATGTGAGGTTATTCAGAAGCAGGGTTGACCAGACCAGTTCCATGAACAGAGAGGGCTCTTCCTTCTTCTGCCCAGGATGCCTGAATCCTGGAGCAGGACCAGGTAATAGGAGCCCCTTGGGGTCATCAGGCAGCCAAGACACTCTGCCTGTGGGAAGGGAAGGTGTGAAGCAGAGTCTTGGCAGTGTCGTGGTGCACTGAAGTCTTGAGTTATTTTGTCCATTGGCTTCCAGGAAGCTGATAAACGAAAATTCCAGTGTTTGGTTTCCTGTAGCCTTTACTGTTTACATTTTAAGCTCAACTGAATCCAGGGCAAAGAAAACTTTTTAATAATTTATTGGAGAGAGTTGGGGAGTGGGGTTGACTACATAGCTGCATAAGTAAACTAACTTTCTAATATTTCACAGATTTGGTTGACTTTTATGAGATGTTTCAACTACCCAGTCAGGGAAAATACAATAAAGCTTACAATTGTTTGGTTCACCCTGTCCTTTGGGTAAGTGATATTTAAATTCTTGGTGAGTGAAATCTTAAATGTCCTCACTGTAATTCCCAGTTGTGCTGTTTCTTTTGTTATGCTGGTTGATGCTATAAACTTTTAAGAAATAATTTTTTTTTCAGCTTAGATTTGCTAACAATTATGGTTTTTATAAACCAATCATTTTACTTATCTTTTCATAAAGCTAGGGTGGCAAAACCAAGAGTATTTGGAAATCCCAATAAGCCCTTGTATGGTTTGTCCCCTATGACTTCTCCACTCTCCTCCCCTCATTTTTTTTGCCCCAGCCACACTAGCCTCTTTGGTCTTCCTTGAACTACAAGAACCATTCCCATCTCAGGCATTTACACTACCCCAGATATGGCCTGGCTCATTCCCTCACCTCCTTTAAGTCTTCTTTGAGTCTTTCCTCAAATGTCACCTTCTCAATGACACCTTTCCTACATATCTTTTTTTATATTGCAGCCCCTCAGCACTCCCTATCCCCTTCTCAGCTTTATTTTTCCCCCATGGCACTTTTCATCTTCTAGTATATTAAAATGTGTCTTCTTCCTCTGAAAGCCCTGTGAACACAGGGATTTAAAACTCTTTTGATCACTGATATATGTCCCTGGCACATAATAGGTGCTCAATAAATAGTTGTTGTTAAATGAATAAAACTGCCATATATGTATTCTAAGAAAAGAGGAGGGAGGGAGAAAAATTCAAGATTTTATTTGCTAATAGTTGACATATCCCTTTAGAATGTATGTATACAAACTCTATTTTTGCCTAATTTGCTGTTTAAAGAGGCAATTAGATAATATACTACACTTTCAGGTCACTTTCAGGTCACATAGGTCACATAGGACCTATGTGCCTGGCCCAACATTTATGCTGCAAGTCCCATGCCTTCACATCCCTAAATTAAACCAGGCGAGTAACCAAAGATGACCAATCTTTCCTAGTGCTATGGGGTATAAAATAAAGGGACAGACATGGAAAGTGGGGGTCAAGATACCTAGCATCTCATTCTGCTATGTGACTTGGGGGCATTACTAAGTTTTAGTTCCTCATTTCTAAGTTGAAAGCATTGGCTTAGAGTATATAAAGTAACTCCCAACCAAGTTCTGGAAAACCCATTAATCTGTGAAGAAAGAGAAGGATGAAAATTAATATGTATTAAGTGCCTGCTATGTGCTAAATACTAGGCCAGGTGCAAAGATAAGCAAGATGAAAGTTGTACTCTCAAGATGTGACGTTACATGATAATTATCTGGCTTGTTTATTTTGTTTAATAATTTATTATTGACCAGACTTGAAGCTTTATGGTTTCCTTACTGATATCCCCGAAACCTCAAATAATGCCTAGCATTTAGTAGGTAGTGAACAAATTAAAACTTAACTGAAACTCCTCCATGTCATTGATTATGGACTTTCCAGAGTAGCGTGCTTCCTCTCATGGTTGCCATTTTTAAAGTTTTTTGCCCTGTGTATATGACTAGAAGAGCAATGCAGCAGATGTTGCATTCCTGAGTCATTTCTTATCCAGTGGCCATCACACCTCCACAGTAATTAGTTCATCATCGATGAAGAGATGGGGTTGGAATCTTGAGGCAAAGATGCTTCAGGAATCCTGATGATGCTGCTGATAAAAACTGCACATACTGTTTTTTGAGCATATGTGCTAGGTGCTTTGCACCCCATTTAACCTGACCAACCACCAGGAAGGTGAATACTGTCATCATTCTAGTGTTAGAGATGGAGTAACTGAGGCTTAGACAACTGGCTCAAGATCACACCGCTGGCAAGTGGCAAGGCCAGGATTCGAACCTGTCTACCTGCAACAGCTATGCTCATAACCACTCCTTTCCCTGTGTAATTAAGTGTAACTGGGGATAAGCTGCAGCTATGGCCCTCAAACTTGGGTGTACATCAGAAGAATCATGGAGGTCTCCACCCCCAGAATTTCTGATCTGGTAGTTCTGCATGGGGCCTGAGAGTTTGCATTTCTAACAAGTTCTCAGGAGATGCTGGTGCTACTGGTCCAGGAATCCCACTTTGAGAATCACTACATTAGAGCAGTACTGTCCATTAGAAATATAATGTGAGCCACATGTGTCATTTTAAATTTTCTGGCAGCCGCACTAAAAATAATTAATTAGTTAATTAATTAATTTAAAAGGTGAAATTAATTTTAATAATACATTTTACTTGAATCATTATGTCCAAAATATTATTTCAACATTTAATCAATATAAAAGTGATTAATAACTTATTTCAAATTCTTTTTTTTTTTCCACTAGTCTTCAAATCTGACACTTTATACTAACAGCACTTCCCAGTTCGGACTTGCCACATGTCAGTGGCTCAGTAGCCACATGTGGTGACTGGCTGCTGGACTGAAATGCACAGCAGTGTGACTCAGCTGTTACCTTTTAAAAAGCCACATCAGAGACCAAGAGGCAGAAAGTGGAAATAACCTGGATTTTCAGATAATCACCTGTGTGGTCCTTTTCCCAGCCTTGAACCACTTTGAGAAATGGGGCTCTATCCCCAGGCTAGCAGTCAAAGAGTAGTGTAGGAACCAAGAAAGATTCTTCATTTGTAAAAGAGGTCAATCTTTAAGGGCTCTCTCATGGTTTTTGGACACCAGGAGTTTAGACTACCCAACAGGGAGATGGGGCTCCTACCTGCAGCCTCTGGTGATGAGAAAAACATCAGGACCAGGATGGCACGTATGGGTACAGGATGGGATTCCTGTGAAGGTCCCTTCCCAAAGGAAGGGTTTAGGAATGACATACCTGTGGGTCTCTAGAACCTCAGGCCATCTCTCTAGTTCGGTTTTTGCAGACCTAATTGTGGCATAGGAGAGCAGTGCAGATTACTGTTCGATGATTCATAATGTCACAGGGAGCCAGTCATAATCAGAGCACTTCTCCGGGAACCACTCCCTACTTCTCTGAAAATGTCATTGCCTCTGGTGTGCTGGCACCTTTACAAACTCACATTTCTTTGTCTTTGCAGGTACTATGGATTATCTGTTTGGTTCCCTGATGTCATTAAACATCTGCAATCAGACGAATATGCACTACTAATTAGAACTGTGCCAAGAGAGAAATATGCAAATTTCAGTATTAACTTTACAATGGAAAATCAAATTCATACTGGAATGGAATACTACAATGGCAGGTCCAGAAAGTTTGAAATAACTTACTATGTTACCTAGTCACAAAAACTTATTTCTCATTAGCCTTCACTGCACTGAAACATGCATAGCTGGTTTTGTTTTGTTTTTAATCTGTACATTTAGTCATTTCCGGGCTGAATGTGAATACTTCCAAATGGGCGTTAAAGAAAAGGCACACATGTATCAGTTGTTTTGCTTAAAACTACTCCTGAAATTGAGCTGCTTCACATTTATTAAATAACAGAATTGACTGATATGAAAAGAAAATTTAGAGAGGCCCTGGAGAGATATAAAAATAAGTTAAAGAAGTGAAGAATATGAGAAAATAAGATGGATTATAAGGTTATCTAGTTCAGAGAAGAAATCTGACGTGTAATTTTATGCCTGTATTCTGTTCCTGAAAAAGGGACTACTTTTCAGAATTCCTACTTTCTCCATGATGCTGAACCAGGAATTGAGGTTACATTGATTGTATCAGGAAGACTTCCAGTTAGAGAACAGGAAGGATTTCCCAAAATACTGAATAAGTTAGCCAAGGACGTTTTTGAGTATAGCATCTGGAATGCCTCTTGATGAGGACAGAGAACTGGGTCAGGAAGGTAACTCTGGTTCATTTTTTCAAAGAGGCAAAAGGATGGACAAGTCATTATTTATATCCATTATTTGTTGTCTGAGCAAATGATCGCTGGTATGAGTTCCTGATGCTTTGCATCATTCTTAGGAAATTGTCCCAATTTCTTAGGAAATTTCGAAAGTGATAAAAGCAAGAATCTAATGTAATTGAAAAAAGTTCCTTAGGGCAAAAAACCAGTTTGGAAAGATGAAAAAGAATTCTGTAGGATGTTTATGGTTTGTGATGAAAAGGAGAATTACCAACCAGGAGATGATTGTTTGAATTGACAACTCACTGAGGGGTCTAATCCTTAATCCCAGCCATACAGAATCACCTTCATTCTCCTATGTAAAATCCTGACTCAAAGCTGCACTTGTTTTTCCACAGAACTCTTAAAGGCAACTGCGCTGTAATTCTAGGGTGAAAATTTACTTCACTTATTTAAAAAAATATTGTTACCCCATTAGAAATTTCTAATACATGTTTGTGTCTCTGGATAGTCACATTTTTAGTAATATTGGTTAAAGCTGTAAGCTGGATATTCAATCATGACTAAGAATTTTTTACATTGGCAATATAATGAGTAATAGTTTTTAATAATATTAAAGTCCTTGGGGGTGGGGAAAAGATATTAAAGTCCTTATAAAACATACATTTATTTTAGAAGGTGATAGAATTTATTTTCTTTCAGGGAAATTTTAAATGCCACTCAGTAGCTCATTTTCTTAAAAAGCAGCTTTCCTGTTCAACATAGAAAATGGCAACTCTTTCTGTATTGATATGGAGTAGCCTCTAAGATGGACTACCAGGGGGCAAAGCAAGTCATAGAACAGTGTGTCTCATTTGCTAGCTCTCTCTCTAGAGAATGCTCCCGGAAGAGCACCCGAGAAACTAACAACAGTAGTTATCTCTGGGCAAAAGGATTGGGTGGCTTGGGGATGCGTCGGAAAAGACTTACCTTTTCCTTTTCCAACGTTTTGAATTTTGTACCATTTGTAGTCTGTGGTATATATTACCAATTCAAAAAACAAATAAAATTGTCTCCCCTTTCAGTTCCATTTCAGAAAATTGATAATCTTAAAATGTACCATTATTTACCCTCCTTTAGTGGGTAAATTTGTAGTTTGGGTGGTTTTACTCTGGACCCTTGGAGCAAGGAGATGAAATAAGATTATTTTTTAAGCTGGTTGGTCTGTTAAGCCACAGTGGTGAGAACAATTTTGAAAGTATGACTCAGTAACTACCGAGTTGCTTTTAAGTCAGTCAACTCACTTGCCTGGGAGAATCAGTTCCTTTCTGCCCCTAATAAGAGTGGTATTTAATATAAAAACCTTTTCTCAGTTGAAGAAGCATCTTCTTCCCAGTGACTGTCTGAGTATATTCATTGTCTCTTAATAAATTACTGAGATACATTGATGAATATTTATCCATTTTTCCTGGGAGTCCTTATTAACACAGATCTGAATCATGGACTCTTCTAAGATGTTAGGATCATTATGACTTATCATTTTTTACCACCTAGAGTTCCCCCTGCACCCAAAACTGTATATGAGCAGGTTTCATCATTCTACACATTTCCAAAACTAAGCAGAGCTCTCACCATTCTACTTGGTTCAAGGAATACCTGTTAGCTCTGAGAAGAGAAGTGTTCTTGGAATGAGTGTGACCTGTGAGTTTCTTGACCCCTGAGTCAACCATTCCTCACATAGATGAAGAGTTCTCACATGCCCTCTTCAAAATAATCCCCACACTCGAATGAAGAAACCTTGGATTTTCAGCTGAGGAAACAGACTTTCATTAAAAGTGTGCATGGAAGCACATTCTCGTTAGAGTCCTCAAATAGAGAATTTTCTAATAACGGCATATATTTGAAGGAGCAAGAGGATGGGATTGAAAAATAATTAATAGCCACAAGTAATCTCCAAACGTTCTACCTGCAATTGTGTACTCCCAAGAAACCTTTTACCAACATGGCAAAAAGCTAAGTGAAGTTCTCTTGAATGCTATCATAACTTCTTCTGGTAGAAAATAATATTGGTGAGCAATGAATAACCAAAGGACAGGCTGCATGAGGGGAAAGGGACAACGCTAAGAGCTTAGAAAATCCAGAAACCAATGTCCTTTATAATTAGGAGAGTCCACAGAAGGGCCTCACATCTCTAAACCTGTTTGACAGCTTCGAATCCTGATGAACCGTCATTGATATTAATTTTTTGTGTGTGTGTTGGACAGATTCCTAGGGGTCAAGTTCAAATCTGTAACATTCAAAGATTCAGTTTTTAAGGCCTGCACCTTTGAGGATGTGACTTCGGTCAACACCTACTTCAAGAACTGCACTTTTATTGATACCGTTTTTGACAACACAGGTAAGTGTGCTACTTAGCCCTACTGAGACCTTTTCAGAGGGCGCAGCTCTTGGCAGCAATGTGATGCCTATGTGACAGTGCAGGCAGAGGCTCATGGGGGAAGTGGAGATTAAAGTATAAAGTAACAGATTCCCTAGATCAAGTCGGATCAAAGTTAAGTGTGTATTGTTTGTCTTTGTCATATTTAATGCAAATAGGACTTGCTGAAGTTCAAAGTTGAAAACGTAATGGTTTGGTGAATAATTTCTAAAGCAAAAAATTAACCTGTAATTTATTTGTTTTGATAATCCTGGTGTCTAAATCGGGTGTTTGCTTTAGTCAACATGCCTGAACTAGAGTCAACAGAGATGGATAACATATGGCTTTGCTTAATCAAATATCCTTTTTTTTTTTAGCCCAATCCATTTAATGGAGTCTGGAAAACTGCCCAGGGAAGGAGGAGGAAACAAACATTAATTGAGCACCTACTATATGCTGGGCCCTACTCTCAATCATTAAGACATTCATCTCAATAGCTGAAGCTTAGATAAATTAAGTAATTTGCCTATAAAGATAGAACTAGTGACAGCTGACATTCGAACCCAAGTTTATCTGATTTCAATGCCCATGCTTTCCTACCCCCACACATTGGTCTGTCTATCCTGGAAGAGTCCAGAATAATAAGCCTGACATTGGCAGGAGTATCAGCGCATACCTGTTGTCAGCCCTACCTTTTTGGAGCTCAGACAGGAGCCAGCTCTGCGCATCTCCAAATGAGAATGGAGTCAGGTGTCTTTGGGTTTTGTTTTGTTTTTTATTTTTAAGGGTGCTGTCACTGTCTTCTAACTCATTCAACCTCAGATGATCAGCTTTTTAGGCAGGTCTTGATCACAAAGATGATAAGAGTTTTTATTCCCACCACCTTTTGGCAGAACCCATCATCTGCAACCTCTCCTTAGATAAATACAAGTTCAATTAAACAAAAATTAGTGGTGAATGCTAGTGAGCTTCAAATGAGGCTGACTCTTGTTCCTTGATGGGGTCCTCCTCTTAGGCCTCAACTTATAAATCCAGCCCCAAGGACCCAAAGAAAGTCCTGTTCCTTCTCTGTGTCTCATAGTCCCATACAATGACAATAGGACTGATTCATGCATATTTTGAAACAAATTGTTTTTGTAATTGTAGTATGGAAGCCATCAGCACTCTAATAATATGGTCCTTATATAACATGATAATTAGGACAAACTAATATGATAAAGGAGTAAACAAGTAATTTAATGAGCAATGGCCAACCATAAGAAATTAGAAGATCGTTGGACTCTTTAACTTAGTTTAGTCCTGTTTCTATCCCTTCATTCAGCTGCAGCCATCCCTCGGTATTCGAGTGGGATTGGTTCCAGGACCCTTGTGGGTACTAATATCCATGAATTCTCAAGGCCCTTATATAAAATGGCATAGTATTTGCATAACCTACGTACATCCTCCCGTATACTTTAAATCACTTCTAGATTACTTGTAATACCTAATACAATGTAAATGCCTTTAAATAGTTGTTAATACTGTATTGTTTGGGGAATAACAAGAAAAAAAGTCTATACATGTTCAATACAGATGCAACCATTGTGGGCCTAACTACATAATACACGTCAGCAACAATGTAACTATTTTTCCCCCAAGTATTTTGGGTCCAGGAATGTGGGATCCACAGATATGGAAGGCCAGCCCTGCACCTTGGCCAGGCAGAGACACTAAAAATCAAACCAGCCCAGGCCTCGAAGCCCTCACGGAGTTTACAATATCATGTTTGTAAACTGAATTCACGATAGGGTTTCTTATAGTTGTACACAACTATTAAGAACTTAATGAATTATCTTTCTTTTTTTTTTATTAGTTTCAGGTGTACAAAACAATAGACATTTACACCTCTCACAATGTGAATTATCTTTCTTTATGTTCACAGATTTTGAGCAATATAAATTCATTGACAGCGATTTTCAAAACTGTTCATTTTTTCACAATAAAACGGGATGCCAGATTACCTTTGATGATGACTATAGTGCCTACTGGATTTATTTTGTCAACTTTCTGGGAACGTTGGCAGTGTTGCCAGGGAACATTGTGTCTGCTCTCCTGATGGACAGAATCGGGCGCTTAACGATGCTAGGTATGTGCTTGGTTTCATGTAAAATAAAAGAGCTGCCCCTGCAATCCAGAGGGAGCCTGTTTCCCACTGCGCCCCCTGCCTCCTTAGGGATTTGCATCCCACAGAGATGAGAGAGAAATCCCTTAAGACCTTTCATTAGGACTAAATTTTAGTGAAAATTATGTCTAATTTCATTTGAGCAGCTTCCCTGAGTTCACAGGCTGGAAAACTAATTATGTGTGACTAATGTATGTTTTTCCACTTAAGTAGCTGAGTAATTGATGATGTGCATTTCATGCTTGCTGTGTTTAGAAGGCAGTTAGAGAGGCAGACCTTGCATTCAGGTGTGCGTACTCATACGTGTGCTTTGCCAAGCCCAGTCTGCAGCTTCCCCTTGGGATTCAGTGTTGCTGTGAGTTCTTGAAGACCCGAGGGTCCTTGCTCTAACAAGCGGACAGGAAACATCCCAGTGTTTTGTCTGCTTTGTTGGCAGGTGGCTCTATGGTGCTTTCAGGGATCAGCTGTTTCTTCCTTTGGTTTGGCACCAGCGAATCCATGATGATAGGTATGCTGTGTCTGTACAACGGATTGACCATCTCAGCCTGGAACTCTCTTGATGTGGTCACTGTGGAACTGTACCCCACAGACCGGAGGTATGTTGAAAGGGGCCTCTAGGAAGAGGCACTCTGTGCCTGCCCCACAGGACCACTGAAAAACCATAGGAAATAAACCAAGTTGTCATGTCCCCAAGAAAATAAAAATCAAAAAGATATCTGGCTTATGAAGTTGTAGATTCCACTCCTATCTCTTAAAAGGAAACTGCAGGGGAATACAAGTATAGTTGCTAGCAGGAGTTATTAATAAGGCAGTGAAACCAGTAAAGGAATGTAATTTTGTCCATGACTTAGTTTGCTGACTAACAGAGTAAGGAAGCTGTCATGAGGGGTGGGGTCTCATAGCCTCTATTGGCCCACATTGTGAGCCACTAATCAGCCCTGAGAGGATCCTTTCCTTATGTTTGCGAGTGTCTGCATGGGCTCTGCATTAAACAACTGCAGAGAGGTCTCTAGAACGTATCTCTTGACCTTCCTGGTCTATTGGAGGAAAGCCCAGCTCATTTCCAGTTACCAAAAAAAGGTAAGAGAAGTATGCATCTAGTCCCAAAATAGAAACTCTGCGACTTTGCACCTCATATCAGAGAAAGGGCTAGAAAGCCAGGCTTTGGGGTAGAGCTTCGGCAGCTGAACAATGAAAAGAATAGAAGTCCTGTTTTGCTGTTTGATGTGAGTGAGGACAAATGGCCTTGCTTTCTTTTATTTCGTGTATGCTTTGTCACCATGGAAGCTCTCTCTGCTGAAGGATGGAGTCAGCATTGTCTGCACTTTGAAATGGAGGAGGGTTTTCTAGGACTAAGTAAAGACACTTGGGATGTCAATTTTCCACTGACCCTGAGGCCCTCCTTTTGTTTAGTGGAGCCCCAATGGGATACATTCTCTGCAGGGCCAGGCTCTCTAACTTATGTTTCTTCTTCATGAACATCTATTACCGAGCTTACAGAAACCATGTAGGTACTCCTATAGCGTCTTCCTGCAGAAGACCTGAAACTCTTATGAATGTCTGTTTATCAAATCTTCTAATCCAGACCCTCAGTAACCTCCCATCAAATACTTAGGATCTGAAAGAAATCATACACCCCATGTATGCATCTCTTTCATCTGTTCAACAAACAGTAATTCTCTTTTTTTTTGGACAAGCTCCTGGGGTGGATGCCAGGGACCTTGGGGGTAAGGGTGCGGCCAGAAGCAAGATTAACACTGTGTAGTTTTCATTGAGCTTTATTTCATCAACCTCTCATCCTAAAAACAGGGCCCAGGTGTGGATTAAATGATACACTGTCAAATGTACATTGTGAATATTAAAGCAAGGCCGTTATAGCCTGCTACCTTTTTGTTATACATTGTAAGTGTTTGATATGATTTTAGATGAATCAGATGCTTATACCTCTGCCATAAGGGATGGAAGGATGGGTATTCTCCTATGGCAAAAACCTGGCTTTAAAAAAAAAAATTGGACAGGTCGGAAATGTTAAATGTCAACTAAGATAAACACAGAAATTGCTGTTTGTATGAGCTCAGGTCTTCCGAGAAGCAGAGGATGGATTAAATATGCACAGATTTTATTAAGAAAGTGTCTGTATGAGAAAAAACGGGAAGGGAGGTGAAGTCTGGGAGAGCCCAATGCAAACCTGAGCCCCAGTGCAGAAGCGAGGATAGATGGCTGGATGAAACCATCCAGACCAGCAGTCTAGAGAAGGTTTGGCAAGGCTGCTGCAGGGGAGGGAGAAGAGGGGTGTCAGTGTCAGCCTCAGAGGAGTCCTGCATGTCCAAGGAGCCAGCCTGTCGTGGTAGTCCTGGCATGTTCAGTTTGGAACACCAAAACGTGATGATGAATTTCAGAGCCCAGCAGCCAGGGCAGCAACTTGGAGGTCTGCAAGGTGCATTGCCATGCAGCCACACTGCTGCTGGCTGACGGTCTCCAGCACTGAGGCAGGTGTTATCAGATAATGTGCAGGATGTCACTTCCTCCAGTGATTCAGAGATAACTTGTCCTGCAGAGCCATATTGCCAGGCCCAGGTGAATTAGCTAGTACCACCTACTGTTTCAGGCTAAAACCTTCTCTTCCGTCTCTGCCAGGGTGCTCTGGGTCATGTTAGGAGGCTTCCACTGGTCTCTGGCTCTGCTGGTAGAGGAAAACCCCAACTGTTTAGTGTGCAAATATCCTATTCTGCCTCCCCGGGAAGGCAGAACAGAATATGTCTTGACAAGAATTCTGGTTAGGGGCGGTAATTTTTCATAATAGAACTTCAGCATTGCCAACTCCTTGCCCAGTTTCTAGAACCCCAACCGCCACGTACGCAGGGGGTTCTAGAAACCCCTCAGAGAAGCTGCACTGCCTCTTCACTTCATATTGTTACCCTAAAAATAAAAGGCCAAAGTGAGAGGCAACAGCATTTATTTGAGATTTTAAAAAAAAAAGCTATTCTGGAAGCACCGATTCAGGCAGAATCTCATTTGCAAAGGAGTATATATGGGAAAGGGAGGGGGAATAATTATATCAATAGAAGGAAGGCATTTCTATTGGTGCAAATAAGCTAAAATAGTGATGTTAATTCTAAACAATATTCTTAAGTTCAGTCTAGTAGTCACAATATCTGCTTTCTTATTATCTTTGCTCATAGTTCTTTGGGACACAATATTGCTTTAGGCTCAGTCCAAAGGTTATTTTGCCCTGTTTTAACATTTCGGAGTCTTGAGGCATAAGACCTGCAAGGCATTTCCTCTGGGATGGCAGCTGTGACTCCGTTTTAAAGTGGTTCCATATATATATTTTACAATATGATAAAAATTGGGTAATTCTGTTATCAGAGATCAGGTCCTTGTTGCTAAGACAGGGGATTGTAATGGTAGCACTATATAGCTTCTAGTTTGAGATTTGGATCTCTGGTATAATTTGATTTAACAAGTATAATTTAGCTTGGAACTTTTTGAAAGCTTTTCTTTCTCCACTTCCTTTCTGCCAGGTCTTAATGATTCTGCTTGCTGTACATTTACTATGCAGACCAGTTTCAATGTTTCTTCTTACTTCCGCCCAGTGCTGGCCCTATGACTTGGGAGAGGTTTTGCATCTGTATGGGATCCACTCCTAGCTCCAACTTAAATCGACAATATATGCAAAGGTGGCAATAACCAGCTTAACTGCCCCTTCCCTTACCCCAACGAATAAGCTGAACTCGATAGAAAATCTCATTTTTGACTGGACTCAGACTTAGAGGTAGAAGCTCTCAGAGAGGATAGCCTGCATCTCTTGGTAAGCTGTTCCTGGTGTTTTTCTTTGGCCTCCTTCATTCTCTTGGCCAAAAGTTTAGCAGGAGGATTGCTTGAGCCCAGGAGTACAAGGCTGTAGTGCGTTATGCTGATTGGGTGTCCCCACTAAGTCTGGCATCAATATGGTGACCTCCCGGGAACAGGGGACCACCAGGTTGCCTAAAAGGGGGAGAAAGATATTCCAGGTCTCATTGATACTACTGTGCCTCATTGCCCAGGGCCCCCAAAAAGCTAGCAGAATCCGCCAACTTTTCAGTCTCTAAAGATGATGTCCACCAGTATGTTGTGAGAAGGCCCCTAAACAAAGAAGGTAAGAAAAGCTTGCAAAAAGTCCCAAGCTAAATTATACCCGTTAAATCAAATTATACCAGAGATCCAAATCTCAAAATAGAAGCTATATAGTGCCACCATTCCAATCCCCTGTCTTAACACTTGTATCATCACAGGAAGGCATTCCAGGAAGTACCAATATTAATCCACACAAACAAAGCCAAACAAGCCAAGGATTTATTCAAAGAAAGAACATATACAGTATACTCTCTAGATGGTGTAAGAGTAGGCAGGCCAGGAAAAAGGGCAACTGCCCCCAGAAAACAAAGAAATTTAGGGTTATATTTGAATGAGGGTGCAAGTATCCAGGGGTGGGTCGCAGGCATTCCCAGGGTGGGTCTCCGCTGACCACTCCTACCCATGGGGAGGTGGGAGTCCCTTGTAGGAACTGTCATGGTGACTTGGGTGGAGATTTCTCCCTGCCTGCAAATGCTAACAGTGTTATAATCTATTGGGTTGTCAGAAAAGTCATGACATATTTTTTTCTATGTTTTTCGTTGCAAAAATGCGTCATGACTTTTCCGAGAACCCAATATTACAGTTAGCTGTAACTGCACCTTTTCTTAAGAATGAGCTCACCTCCTCTTTTTTTTGTTTCCCCAAACTTCCTCCTTCCCTTCCTCCCCACCCTCTCCCCACGCCCTGTGCTTTCTGCCTATAGTAACATTTCTTCACATTTCTTTCTCTGCTGTGCAGTCCAGACGCAGGGAGACTGTGTCTCTGCTAAATCTGCATGGTCCAGATATTTGCTTTGCTCTTCTTCATCCTGATTTGCCCTCTTTTATTCTGATTTCATTAATTTTATGTCTTTTATAAGCTACCCTAAGTCGTTTAGAAAGAGGCAGGTAAATTTAAAATTAAAACTATATGTACCTATTGAGCAGCACCTTTTTGTACCTAAAAAATAAAATAAAACAACAACTGCAAACACTTTGTAAGGGAAAACTCTTGTGGTTTTTTTTTCCCTTTACTCTCAACACATCACTTCTGGGCACCAAATAGGTGTTTTACAGATTTAACTCTATTCTGATGCTATCTACCTGGAGATAGCATCAGATCCCACAGGTTAAGGGCTCAGCCCCATTAAACTGCCCCCACTTCAGACTCTAATCTCATGTCAGGTTATCACCTGTACTTCTGACCAACCATCTATAAATTAGAATTCCCTGACCCCCTCCTCAGGTTCAATAATTTATTAGAATGGCTCACAGAACACAGGGAAATATTTATGTTTACCAGTTTAGTTTGAAAGGCTGTAGCTCAGGAATAGCCAGATGGAAGAGATGCATAAAGCCCGGCTTCCATGCCCTGTCCAGGTATACCACCCTCCCAGCAGCTCCACATATTCGTCACCCTGGAAGTTCACCACATCACAGTGTTCAACAGTTTTTATAGAGCTTAATCTCCTGCTACATGCACCCCATAGGTGAGTGGGTGA